ATTATCAGTAAGAATTATAAAATATCAAAAACCGCAACTTCTATTTGTACTTACAATAACAGTGCATGAACGAAAGATCCAACAAGCTTCCCTTCTATCCTGTTACTTGAATGATAGACTTACACTGCATGTTCTCGGTGCCTCCATAATAAGAGCGGTAATAACACAATATGCATTACAGAACATTATAGTTGAAAGGTTCCCAAGTATCCGCTCTGTCCAAACCTACCATTGCATCCCATAGTGTGTTGTATGATGCCGTAATACATGCCTATCGATAGTGATAGATTGGAAAAGATAGTATAGAAAAACAGCAGCATAAAAAAGAGGAGTGGTAATGATTAATTAGCATTTGTACACACCATTCATTAAGAATAAAGCCATAACCATCTTCCAACACGCATCCATTATTCTCCTCTGCTTTTACCTTGACCACCAGAGTAGTACCGATCACTTCAGGTAGGCAATCAAGAAGAAGCTCATGTAAAATAAGAAGAGGCAACATAATACAGAAGAAGAGTGGCGACATTAGTCACTTATGCAGACTATCAATAATAAGAAAAACCCGTCACCTTACACCAGTACATACTCACAACTCGTCCTAACTCATACCTTTGACAAAGTCCATTCAGCATTGGCGTTTAAATTAAGGGGCGCTTTGTCTAGTTCGGCCAATGGTCATTGTGAATGTTTTAGACAATGGTGTGCGTGAGTGGCGAAGAGAAGAAACACGTGCTGATTATATATTAAACGCGTGTCAACTGGCAATAGCTCTAGTGAGTCCTAGTATGATCAGTGTTTGCAAGCACGATGCCGTTACATTGTTGACGGATGCGATTGCGAGACAAGTGTGCCATTCCTAAGTCATCGTGTGTGTCTGAAGAAGAGAAAAGAGAAGAAAAAGTAAGATGCTTTCTTTATGGCAGTGCGTCACACACAAACACACACACGCTCACTCATTTCCTCACAGATCCGCAAATTAACAATCTCACTTGTACTTCCCTCCATCTATCATATTGACGCAGCAGAATCAGCTATAACCTGAATGGTTTTTACAATGGCGCCTGTTGGAAATGAAGTTGCACGGTTTTTGATGAAGACCATATGTCCAAAGATAAAAGAAGTTGTTAGCTGCCATAAGCTGAAATACTATTATTCTAATAGTCTATTCACCCTCATATTTGTCTGTTTTCTTTCCCCCCTCATTCTCTCTCCATTTTATTATAAATGATCCTCCTGCACTGATTCCTTTTAGTTTACTTGCCTTCTTATGTGATACGTATGCTCAACCACGCCTTAAAAAATAGAAGAACGGCCTTGTACCTTTTTCAATTTACTGAGTGCTGTGGTGACTGCATTCACCACTGACTTTGAAATATGCAATTTGGGGGGGCGGGAGGCTGCCTGCCCCAAGTTATACTCGGGGCAGAATAAGTATTTTGAACTTATAATGTCGCAGCTAAAGTCAATATTTTGGTATGGAATTAACAGCTCATATATCACATAGCAAAAGTATCTAAACAACCTGTCATCGAAGAACTTGGAACCGATATCAACGATGTTGAAGAAGATGCGTTGGAGCTAGATTATTAAGAGCTTAAAGATCGAATTGACAACTTATTTATCGATGCACAGACGGCTCAACAAAAGCAAGACTTGATATCATGCATACATATGGCTTTAGATCAGTACAAACTAGTACCCATCAAAGATTTAGAGTTACTGACCGCTGTCAAAACCAAAGGACGGCCGAAGGGTGCTATTGGGTCGAGGCTACCATCTTACTTTGAGATTATCGAACAAGATGCGAAAGGAAAAGAAAAATCAGAAAGAAGAAAAAAAACTGTTACTGAAAAAAACGAATCCAACCCAATAGTCAAAAAAAGAAAACTTACAATGATTGAGAACGGTTCTGAAGAGCTTTGGCCAAACAAAAAGTGTAGTATACAGGCTCTACATGATCAAAGGTATAGGCATATATTTGCCTAGTAGTGGTTTAATATATATGAACTTACACCGTTTGCTGTGTAGCTCGACAATACATCCAGATATTCTATTGTCGTACATTACAGACTCGAGGACCCACTATGGTTATGATAATTTTAATGCAGTCTAGTAACCCTAAATGACTAATTAGCTGAAATATGTCAGGATAGCCAAACTAATTTTCATTGAAATAATTCATGCACGAATGTCTTGGCATGCATACATTTAAATTTTTGAAGAAAAATAAAAATTGAATTTTTTTTTAATATAAAAATAACACCACAGAATATAAAACAAAATATATTTGTTATATTTTTTAGCACTCCAACAAAACTACCCCCAACAAAAACACAATATGGATCAAATGAACCTCCTCACATTTATTGCCATTATGGCTGAATTTGTTCCTATTTTAGGAATAACATTGACGCTCTTAATAGAAAGAGCAAAGCATCTTACGGAACATCATCAAGATGTTAGTGAAAAAACCATTGCTGACCAGCTGAGGGTCGAACTCGAAAAGGACCTCAAAAAGGCTAACATAACAAAAGAAGTACAGGACGAGAACCGTACTATAATAATGGGACGGATTAGGGCTTTTGCAAAATTCCTCAAATCCTCAAATCCTCAATTTTCCGATGCAATATTAGAAAATAACACTTCCAGTGCGGCTACCTCACAGGGTGAGAAAGAATTCCGCTTTCAAAATACCAAAGGACTATTCACATATATTTGTAAGGATTTTCATCTAACAAAGGAGCAGGTATTAGAATGGTTTACTAAACATGACCGCATTGGCTATAGAATTGATAAGGCAATTGCATGTGATGAAATTGCACCAGAAACTGGTGAGAAACACGTATATATATGGATACAATTAGATGAACGGTTTGATACAAAAACAGCACATAAATTATTTACTATTGATGGCGTTACTCCAAATATAAAACCAGGAGGTAATCTACAGAAGTCTATTAGCTACTATATTAAGGGAAAGGACTATATCACATATAATATGGATCCAAATTATGAAATTAAAACTAGAAAAATGCACCAACAGCTGCTTGGCTACCAATTATTTAATAAGCAACTTACTATGAGAAAGGCAACAGAAATATATCCAGAATTATTATGGAAATATGATACAGTAAAGTCTAATCTTAATAGCTATTTCCATGATGCCGACATGGAAAATACCTCTAGAAATCAGTTATACATGTGGTCAATGTTTGGTATTGAAACAATGTTTAGTGGTAAAAATAAGATACCACAATACTGGATCGTAGGTCCATCAAATGTTGGAAAAACATATAATATTGATATGTTAGAACAAGGTGGACATAGGGCATATCTAATGAGTAAAGAAAATGATTGGTCAGATTATAAAGATGATGATTATGACTTTATGTATAATGAAGAAACTGGTTCTGATTTCAAACTAACATTCTTAAACCAAATGTTAGAAGGAACACGTTTAAAACTTAATGGCAAATTCACAAAGTCAATAACTAAAAAGAAAAACATACCAATAATACTGAATAGTAACTATATGCCGCATATGTTATACAAAAATAAATCAGTATATGAGTTAGAGCCAACACTCAATCGTTTATATATTATTTATGTTGATAAGAACCGTAAAGGTCATATAATATGGAATCCATATACAATGAAAGTGAAGGATTATGAAAGTAAATTCATGTATTATGAAAACATGGATATGTACGAGGACTTATACAAAAATGAATTCGAAAACGAATACCAAGATCAGCATACATTTATCCGATATGCACATAATAGTGGTCAAGATGATATTAAAAAATATATACCGATGGATAAAACAGTAGAGGAACTACATGAATTAGCTGATATAGAAGAATATATGAAAGAACAAGAAGAAAAATATAATAGTAATAATACACAGAACAATAAACAACATAAACCGTCTCAACAAAATAATAAAGGATGGTCGACTGTAAAAGCATTACTACCATCAGATTGTAAACCCTGGTTAGAAGTAATAAATGATATAAAATGTGATGAGATTATAACAGATAATATTGACTGGGATAACCCACCTGAAGATACAGAAAAACATAAGTATATAGATGTTAGTACATCTGATTCAGAACAGAGCAGTATATGTAGCACACTAAATAGTACACCAAAACGTAAAAAGAAAAGAAGACACAACAAAAATAAACAAAAGGGTAAGCAAATAGTAAAAGATATACAGCCAAAGGATTATTTTAAAAAGCATAAGGCTATAAAACACACTATATCAGATAATAAAGATATACCAAATGAAACTATAGTCAAAAATGAACAAATTGATATGAATGAACAATATACAAAGCATAAATATAATTGGGCAGATAGTAGAAAGGTTAATAAAATTAGTTTCAATATGAGAATCTTTAAAGAGCAAAATAAGTAATAAATTAATTTAGAGTGGAATACCTGTGTGACCATATATTCGTATAACATTTTCAATGATAAAATTTATTACTTATTAACTAGCTATTATTCTTTACATTATATCTAACCCACTTAACCTCAATATATACTTATTATTAGTATATATATGCCCTATAATATTCTTAATTTCATATGAATTACTATATGCAATACTTCTCTGTTCGCTTTAATTTTTTCTCGTATGAGGCTACCATTACAATAAAAAAATCCAATTTTATTATATTTCTTATAAATTAATAATTAATTAATTCGACCATATAAGGTTATCTCAACCATAGTAATTTTACAATCCATATTACAGCCAATAGATTGTAAGTGGCTAGATAACTAATAGCAGGAAGTCCTCGGTCGAGATAAATCCGGACGGATGGTGTGGGTTCAGAACTTTGTCGTATCTCGAATATAAAAGCAATCAAGATAAATACGCCGACATCAAAAAAAGAATGCATGAGTACGTGGTGGCTAAGGGAAAAAGCATTTGTTTGTCTTACATCTGTGGTGGCAGCCAGACGGAATATGAAAAACTGGTCAAAAGGATGTCTTATGGTGTCGCCTTTGGTGATATTGAGGCTGACTGTCCCAAGGAGTACTGGTTTGACGGAAGCGTGGATATTCAGTTGGTAGCCAATGCTTTGGAGCGGCTGATTGCTTGCTATACATCTGGTCTATGGGCGAAATATCATCCGCCGTTGCTGATATTGCCATACTCTGTACTTTCGGGCAAACGATATAGTCTCCTGCCGTTCGTTATGCATTTCATGAATGGGAACCATTAGGAGCCGGTCTTGCTGCGATCATCTGTTAAAATGCGATGGCCCCCGATATCACAGCGACATAAGCAGCAATAGAACGAGATCAACCTAGGTCACGATCACAAAACGTTTTGGAGGTACCTACATATCAAAAAAACAGTGTGTAACAGTGTCGGCCCAGATACTTACAATCGGGAACGTGAATGGGTAGACAGTGTGGATCAATGAATAAGGTGAGACTCGGATATATCAAAGGATAAAACGATAGGGATCCATATAACTCAGGATCCCGTCTTTATATATACGTCGAGTAATAGGGGGCTAGCTATCGTCTAAGTATTGATCTACATCATAACTTCTATCTAGAATATCCCCGCCTATTACTCCATATTCAACCATGCGGTTGACCGCAAGTCATCCTATCGTCTGAACCATGCGTTGTCGATCGTCAACCATGCAGGTTGGATATCGTCGTAACGGTATGCACCGTTACATCCTCCCCCGTCTACTTCAAGAGGTCGACTCGAAGTAAAACGTCAGGTGCTCGCCGTCGATCCGTTGACTCGTCCAAAGTAATTCTTGATTTGCGTCGTTTCAATCGCCGTCCTTTGTAGCTCGTTAATGTCTGTGCGTCGATCTGCGAGTAGTATGCACCGTCCTTATGCGCGTCCAAGTGGGTTCGTATGCTGGAACTCTTCTACAGCAGTGACGGATCGTTTTGTGCGTCGACTGGATAGAAATCGTCCTGGTCTAGGGTTCTCCCCCCGCAAATTAAAACGTCGCGAGAGATCCCAAAAGGTGGTCGTCGTGGTGAAATAGACCCAGAGGAACTATAAAAAAAATAAATACCACAACCCATTGCACATACAGTTACCTGTTTCGTCTGTGTTTGGGCGGACGACCACAGCGTCGAGGAAGTAAATTCGTATCCGAAGCTTTTGATGGCGTCGCTTCCTTGGATTGTTTGAAGTCTTGAAGAGCCTCGGGCGCATTGGAAAGGTGTTCGGCGGGTTCCCACGTCGCCTCGTGTAAGGGATAACCTTTCCACTTAACCAAATATTGTAGCTTGTTTCGTCGCTTGCGCTCGTCGAGAATGGCTTCAACTTCCCATTCGTCTTCGTCGTCAGAAACATTGGTGATCACTGGTGGTGGCCGTTCTGGCTTGCGTCCCACATCGTCAGGTTCCAAATATTTCTTGAGGGCGCTCACATGGAAAACGTTGTGAGCCCTGATCGAAGCCGGCAAATCAAGCTTGTATGCCACGGATCCAATACGTTCAAGGATTTTGTAAGGACCCGCCCACCGTGGAAGTAACTTTCTGGCGGGAGCGTTGGAATAAACATCAGGATTCAAGTGGGTCGTCTTGACTAATACGTCGTCATCCACGTCGAATTCCAGATTATGTCGCTTCATATTGGCATACTTGGCTTGGCGATCCGTTGCTTCCTTGATTGCCTCAGTGACTTGAAGGCGGATAGACTCCAAACGTGTAGCGAGAACGTCTGCTGAATCAACATCAGAGGAGGCAGATCCCGTGGTCAAAGCGAGTGACACCTGTCGTCCCAAGTCAGCGTAAAAGGGTGTTACCCCTGTAGAAGCGTGCTTGGCGTCGTTGTAGGTGTGCTCGAGGACTAGCAGCCATTCGTCCCAATCCGATTGATTATATGCAACGTAATGACGAAGCATATCTTCAAGCGTTCGATTCGTGCATTCCGTCTGTCCGTCTGATTCTGGGTGTAGACTGCTGGACAAATTTCTTTGTACCCCAAGCATCGTCGTCAAGGCCTTCCAGAATCTAGAAGTAAAGCGGACATCTCGATCCGAGACTACGTCTGATGGTAAGCCGTGCTGTCGGTATATCTCACGCAAAAACAGATGAGCAAAATCCTCTGCTGTATCAGTCGTCTTGCATGGAGCAAAATGTGCGCGCTTTGAAAACCGATCCACAAAAACGGCAATTGCATCGAACTTATGTAGCGTCTTCGGCAAGTGTGTGATAAAATCAACCGAAATCGAGGTCCATCGTCCAGAAGCTAGTTGCAATGGCTGCAACAAGCCTGCTTTTTTGGCATTTGGCAACTTGGTACGCTGGCACATGTCACACGTCGCAATATAACGTCGCACTGTTTTGTTCATATGTGGCCAGTAGTAAGTTCGTCCAAGTCGTTCGACCGTTGCATCGATGCCGCGATGACCGGCGATTGGTGCGTCGTGTGCGTCATGCAAGAGGGTGTTGAGAAGCGTTGGCATGCGCGGCACACAGATTTGGCGTCGTCCATCTTTTTTGCGATAGATGATGCCGTCGGCTAGTTCGAACTCTTCGTCCTCGTCGTTCGTCCGAAGCCGAGTCAAAACGTCTGCCCAAAAAGAATCGTCCTTGTAGTGCTGAGTGCATTCCTTGCCAAGCGTCTCCCCCCTCACTGTGAGGACCACAGCACAAAGTTCCATTGATACGTCGGGGTGAGAAGGAGCGTTGGGCGGTCGTTTTGATAAAGCGTCTGCACCAGTATTCTGTTCTCGAGGAATATGATGCACGTCAAACTGATAGGCCATCAGCTTTTCCAACAAGCGGATCTGACGCTTGGAGAGATTCTTGTTGTTGGCATGTAACGTCGAGATGGCGCGGCTGTCCGTGAACACTGTGAACTTTTGACCGTCCAGATGATGTCGCCATTGTTCTAAACAGTACGACACTGACAAAAGTTCTTGTTCGTGTACCGGGTAATTCATCTCTGCGCCCTTCAACGTCCTCGAAGCATAAGCAACCGGATGCAATAAACCGTCGTCCTGCTCCTGTGAGAGGATACCACCAATTGACACCGTTGATGAAGCGTCTGTGTGTACGTAAAAGTGGCGGTCGGGATCCGGGATTGCAAGCACCGGCGCGGAACATAAACGTCGCTTGAGTTCCTGAAAGGATTTTTCACAAGCATCATCCCACTCCCAAGGAACGTCCTTACGCAGTAAGCGATTGAGAGGGGCAGTGAGGCCAGCATATCCATCACAAAAGCGTCGATAGAAATTACACAGGCCTAAGAAGCTCTGGATATGAGCAATTTTCGTTGGTCGTGGCCAGGTGGAAATTGCGTCGAGCTTATGTGGGTCGCATTTAATGCCGTCGCCTGAAACAATGTGGCCAAGAAATTCGACTGAGCACATCCCAAACTGGCATTTCGACCGCTTCGCGTACAGTTTGTGATGTCGCAACTTTTCCAACACCAACTTCAAGTGCTTGACGTGATCCTCGGCCGTCTTGGAGTAAATCAAGACATCGTCCAAGTAGAGAATCACGAATACGTCGAGATATGGCCTAAACACGTCCGACATTAAACGCATAAAGGTAGCGGGCGCCGATGATAGGCCGAAGGGCATTACTAAGTACTCGTAAAGCCCATATCTCGTCAAGAAGGCCGTCTTGTGTGTATCCTCGTCCTTGACCCGGAGTTGCATATAGCCGGAGCGGAGGTCAAGCTTGCTCAAATAGCGCGCCCCAAGAAGCTGGTTCATGAGATCTTCGCACGCCGGTAGAGCGCATTTAGATAGCACACTCGTCTTGTTCAAGGACCGATAATCGATCACCATGCGCAGAGTCTTGTCCTTTTTTGCGACGAACAGGACAGGAGCACCATAAGGTGACGTCGACGGTCGAATCCAACCCTTAGCCAGCAAGTCGTCGAGCGTTTTCTTGAGCTCAGCCAACTCATGCGTAGAAAGGCGATACATACGATGAGCTGGTACTTTGGCGTCTAGCAGTAAAGGTATGGCGTGTTCGACACTGCGCTTAGGTGGTAGACCGTTGGGAACGTCGTCTGGGAAAACATCTTCGTATTTTTCCAATACGTCGTCAAGTCTAGGAACAAAAACACGATCGCCGTCCACCATAATTTTCTCTGCACATAATACAACAAAACCGTCATCAGTAACGTCATTAACGAGTTTGTTGCCAGTACAATGAGAGACGTATTGTATTTCCTTTGGTGTAGGTGGTGGTCGTAGGTGAACGTCATTCGTACGCCAGTCGATTTCCGGGTTTTCGTCATACAGCCAGCTTTTTCCCAAAATAACGTCATGGTCGTCGCTGCGTATTCCCGAAAAAAGGCGAATAGGTGTTGAAAAGTCGTCCATTACTACTGTTGCGTCCAAGTAGCATGTTGAATCGGTTGTTCGTGCGTCGGCAACTTCTACGAAAGAGCCAGGTGTTGATTGAGTTACGGAGATGAGTCCTGTTTGTTTCAGGAACTCAGCCGTCACAAAATCATGTGTTGCCCCGCTGTCAATCAAAATCCTTGCTTTGTGCCTACTAATAAAGCCATTTCGTCGGATCAAGATATGTCTAGCAAACTCCAATTCTCCCATATGAACAGTAGCGTCTGTTAAAGAGAAAGCATGGGAAGGTGCAATATTACAAATAAAAGGATCGTCTTTATTTGCAAAAATGCTACTAGGTAAGGAGGACAGAACGTCTACACTAGTATATGATGATGGAGGGGGGTCGGGAACCAAAGAGGAACCCTCGTCGCAATGGTCGTCCGCGGGATTAACTAAAGAAGTTAATGGCAAAGAATCGTCGCCAACTAGGCCACCAGCAGGAGTGGGCGCGTCTGCTGGTCGAACTAGTTTTTTCCACGGCCTTTGTTCTACGAAAAGAAGGAGCCGCCGCCGTTGCCGCCGCTGCCCTTGCCGTTGCCGCCGTTGCCTCTTGTGGGCGGATCTGGGAACTTGGGGCAGTCCTTGCCCATGTGGTCGAACCCATAGCAGCGGAAACAGCGACCTTCGGCGATGCACTGCTTGGCAGAAAGGCCGCTTGCTTGGCCGTTGCGTTTCTGCCGGAACTGTTGCTGCGAGTGCCGTTGCTGCTCAGCTGCTTCGACCTCTATAGGGGTCGGGCCGGAGGGGGACAAGCTTGGGCTGTCAGCAGCTCGTAAATTGCTGGCTGACGACGTCGCCAAAGAGTGCGGGCCGGAGAGGACTTGGCCGCGACCGCGAAACGGGCTTGCTTCACCATAGGAGCCGTCGAAGTGCTCCGCCAAAGAGATGGCTTCGTCGAGCGTCGCCGGGTTTCCATGTGTGAGATGGGCGGCCACGGCTGGCTTCAG